GGCATGGGATCCGTGGCAACTAGAAGCATCAAATGGCCACCTACACCAATCACTCTGAAGCCAAGAAGGTCTTTTTGGCTAACTGCGTCACATCCAGACTTGTTGCCACAAATCCGCTTTTGCGCGTGAAACTCAGGCTGGGGCATGGTCGCCGCTGCTGCGGGGTTGAGTAACTGGGCGAGCAGTGCGTCTCTTAAGATGGGCTCCGCTCTCCGCTACAATCGACCAGCATCAGCTTCGGGATGCAAAGCCGCAGCTCAAGTTTGCTCCAATGGGGCCAAGTCCATGACGTCACAATCTTCAATCTTTGTCAGGATGAGAGGGATCTCCGGTCAAATAAATATGTCCGGCTGATCTACGAGCACCCATGAGTCTGAGGAGTTTGGGGGCAAAAGTAGGACCCGGTTTTTGTCGATGCGTTTTTGGGAGAAAACATAAAGGTATTTCAGCTTCCCCCTAATTGGTGGTTTGGATTGGGGGTTTGGTGGTTAATGAGGGACTTCCCATTTGCCCTCTACAACAACAGGGGTTTAGCATCCCCAAACCACCCATCCAAACCACCACTTCAGGGTTACCTGAGTATATAACAGGCAGAGAGTCAAAAAACAACGTATAAGAAGCTTGGAACAACAGGGTCCACTCCCAAGAGTTTGTGTTGTCGTGGATGCACCGCAGTGCAAGGAATCAATCTTTTGGAGAAAGCTCAAGTGGCATGTGGGTGTGTGTAGGGGGGGGGGTGTTCTGCGACTGAGGATTAGAAACAAATGCTGAAGGAGCTTGGGATTTCAGCCAAAGGCCTACACGCAGGAGTCGAAACGGTCGGTGGATTCGACACGTCGGGTGTGGCACGCACCCTGTCTTTGAGGCTGACGCTGATATCTTGCAGATTCCATACAAAGATGCGGCAACAAAAGCGTGCGATTTGATAATCAGGTCAAGTGACCTTCTGCGAATTCTTGGTGTCAAAATGGGTCAAGCCGTCCAGTGAATCGGCAAGTCGCATTTTCTTCAGTCCAAAAGTAGCGTTGCTGGTTGATGGTTGGCAGTCACTACCGGCGGACCAGGGCCCAAGATCAAGTATTTCTTGGCCTGCCATTGGCTGTGGCTCAAGAAATGGAATCCCCAAAATGGCACCCTGGCAAAAAAGGAGCCAAAGACCAAAACCTGCGTAACCCCAGCTGTTACATGTTGAGCCACACCGATTTGTGTCAGCCATGGTTTGCACAAGCTATATTCTGTGAAGATGGCGGCCTGGGCTCCGACGCCTCGAGCCTCGCACGTTACAGGTGAGGCAGGTGAGGCAGCGACTGCGCATGTGACGAGAGGCGCAGTGTGCACTATCCTTGATGCTGAGGTACATGTGGCCATGGGTCAAAATTCTGTACCAAAATCCAGCGAACATCCCAATCCAACCACTAAAATAGACTAAAATGGGTGGTGCACCTACCCCAAAATGGGATCCCATTGGTTTTGACCCACAGCACGAAGGAAGCCATCCGGAAATCAGCGCGGTCTGCATGAAATCGCGCCACTTGGCCGTACGTAGCCAAGCACCCTTGTGAGACGGCTTACAATTGAGAATGTCAACTGCTCCAATAAACCCGGGCATGGCAATTGCTTGCAGAAGGAAGGCAGCAGGGCAGTCATGGACAAACAGCACAAGCTTACGGAAGTGTTGGTTACTTCAATAGTACTTACGGCCAGTTGCCGCAGGGCATGCAACCCTCACCCATAATCGTCAGCTACCCAGTGGAGTCACAATCAAAACCCGGTACACAAATGGTCGACCCAGAACCATGTAAAGAACTAAGAAGGCGGCCGCGGCTATTTAGGGCAAGGGGATCGTCCCTTGCTAGCCTTCACTTTTTGATTGTGGCTGGCGGTAGCGGCGCTGTCTATCCTCCAGGGCAATGCCTGGGAGTCACGGAGTGAACCCTAAAAGCGAAAGTAGGGCCACGAGGATGCCGACCTGCGAGGAAAGTTCAGCGACCCTTGCCTCGCAGGCCGAAGGCAAAATAAGCTCAGAATATTGTACTTTGCATGGGGGCATCCGGCGAAGCCTGCCGAGCCTTGTCCAAGGGACCGTGAATCCACATAGCACGCAACGCGGCTCGGAAGGGTCCCAGTCAGCGCAATAACAGTGGGAAAGCCCGGGGGCTCCAGCCAGGCGACTAGCCCACCCCGTCATAAGATGTTTCCTTCGACCTATACAAAACCGCAGTTGCAGCATGGGTTTAACGGGAGCCACGAGGGCAAACTGCAGGATGAGGCCCTGGTAGATGATGAAACCACCAGGTACATGAGCGCCATCTATTTTTCCCCCCAAAAAAACAAAAAGGACACCTATGGTCTTGGCCTTTTTATGGTGGTTTGTTGAGGCACATCAAAACTAAACTCGCCAGCAGAAAAACGATGGGTCTATTTTGGGAAACGGATCAAAGCTGACACCACAGATCTTCACACAAGGGCCTACATGTACTGACAACCACCTTTAGCATAATTGTAGTTTTAAACTATTAGATTTTTGTTTGCCTCTTGTAGGCATGGCAGTCAGGCTCTTCCCGGATCCCACTGAATGTCGAGTCTTGAGCTCCAGCTAACCCCCCTCAGTTCTTGTAAGCGAACATGCTGTGCGCCGACAACTTTAAGGAATGGGAAAGGGACCGCACTTCTGGATTGGACCTTGAGAAATCAAAGCGTAGGGGGAAAAAAACGGGGCGGGGGGGGGGGGGACGGGAAAGACAACGGGAAAGAAAGAAACATACTATATATATATATATAACAAATGAGAAAAACAAAGAAGCAGACACGGCGAAGTGTGTCAAGCCTGGGTTTCCCATCCAAGCCTGGGCCAGTCTTAGACCAAAAAGCAAAAGGACTTGCTGCTTGAATGCGAAAATGGAAGTAAAAGAGGTAAGCGGCATGCGATGCACATCCATTTGCTTTCCCCCCTTGAAAAGATGTGAAAATAGTGGTGAAATCGGGTCCCTATCGAACCAACAAGGGGAAATGTATAAAACATATTAATTTCAGCAAAGGGAAGGTGAACTGACCTTTTGACTTCTCTCACATTTTTTCCGAGCGGCGCCACAGAGGACCCAAATGCTCTGCGCCAGCGCCCCCACGCCCCCGACAAAGGCGAGAACCTAGGCGACTTCGCTTCATTTGGCCAGTGGTTTAGTGGGGGGTATATCAAAAGGTGCGGTAAACATAGGCTGGGCTGTTCAACATGGAGCCTTAGATCCCATTGGGTGCTGTAGATCCCCCAGCAAAAAGTGAATTAACTTTTTGCTGGTTAAAAGGAAATATGAAGGGAATCCAAAAAGTTAAAGTCTAAAGCTCCAATCCAATAGCGGTAGAGCATTTTCCACAATCTCTATTGTACAACCACAAAGGGGACCCCTTTTGTAACCCCAAGGTAAAGATGAAGAATTGCCTTTGAACCGCCCAAGGATGGATTGAGTGATGTTGGGGTTGATCAGTATTCCGATTTCGGTGGTAGCCTTTCCCATTTAATTGAAATATCTCATCTTTTTAGCGGTCTTCCCCAATGGTCGTCCCATGGAAACGACCTTTTGATCCCGGCCTCAGAACCCACCCCACCCACCCACCCACCCACCCACCCACCCGCCCGCCCGCCCGCCCGCCCGCCCGCCCGCCCGCCCGCCCGCCCGTCCGCCCGCCCGCCCACCCACCCTCCCACCCACCATCAAGACTATCAAGATCAACAAAGGCATGTTCGACACAATAGATTGTGGTGCTCGCGTTGCCTTGAAAGGACCTCTTCGTGAATCATGCCCCAATAGGGTAAGCCAACAATGAAACAAAGGGAATCTATGATTTTGCGGTGGTGCTTTTGGAGAGTTTAATTATCATTAGTGTGGCAGGGGGGTCCGGGGCCCACACTTGTCACAGGGATTCATCCGAAGTCATTCGTGTGAGTTGTTTTGTGGGACCGGACTCAGTGTTTAAAAAGACCTCGGCGTTCATCCTGGGTTGTTCATGAATATTTTTGAACATTACCCCCAAACTGGACCAAAACTACTTTCTGCAACAATGTTTTGAGTGGCCAAACTCTGTTCTTGTCTCTTTCAGGCGCACTTCTTTGTCATGTTCAGTTCGTGTTCCTTTGTGTTCTTGAGCACAAAGACTTCAACCGGCTCGAAATGTTTAACTTGAAGTCTCGGAAACTCAGGATTCTGCAGCTGAAGGCTAAAGATCCAAACAATAGCATTCTAAACATCGATTCGTCCTTTTGGGAAAATGGATGGCCCTGGTTTTGAAGCAACCAGGTCAACCAGGAATCGCCATCGATGTTCTGAAACCAACCACTGGTTTTGGCACAACAAGGTCAATCTGGAATCGCCATCTATTGTCTAAAATCAACCACTGGTTACGAAACAACCAGGTCATCCAGGCCATCCAGTTAAGCCCAAAAGATATGATTCTAGCCAATTTCACTGGCGTGACACAACCAGGTAAACCAGGCATCGCCTGGAAACCACGTTGCCCCCTTGGACCGCGGCAACCCAGTCGACCTCGTCTGGTACCGGTACCCAGGTCCCGACTTGCTTGGGGTTCCGGCACGGACGCCGGCAGGCCCCTGCTCGATTAGGCTGCCCACCTGACCCGCAAGTCCGACCCCAAACGGGGCGGCCCTTTGCCGCCGTTGGGCCCTCCTTTTTTTTCCCAGTTTCCATTGCTGGCTACGTTTTATAGGGGTGTCTGGAAAAGAATAGACGCTTCCCGATCCCCCTTTTTTCCTTTTTGGTTTCCTGCTCAGCATTCAACCAGTCTGCAGCAATCCAGGGCTAGTTGCTTGAACCATGGCTCAAAGCCCCCATTGTTTCACTTCAAGCAAAACAAACACCCATATCCCCAGTGAACATCCCAATCCCCCCTAAAATACCCTAAAATGGGTGGTGAATTCACCTACCCCAAAATGGGATCCCATTGGTTTTGACAACCACGGCCATGTTAAACCCATTCTCTATTTTTCCCTACGGCTCACTGCACCCCTTTTCCCTTCGGCCACTTTGGCGGCCGAAGGTGTCGGGTTCCTGCGGCGGAATTAGCGCTTCCGCGGCCTGGCTCACCGACTGCCAGGCGTAGTCCGCCGCCACGCCCGCGTACTTGTACGCCGCCTTCTGCACCTGGCGAGAAGCGAGTAGCTCGAGCGACGCCCTTGCCGAGATTGGTCCACGGAAGCGGTCCCGGGGAGCGAAGCCAAGCGGATCCGGCACCTTTACAAGGAAACCCATGCGAAGTGTCCTCCAAAAGTTCAAGGCGTCCTACTTTTCGCGCCCAGAGTTCCTAATGATCATAATGTGACATGTGACAAACGTGCGTTTTTTTTTTTTGACAATGTGGTGGCATGCCTACTTCCCACGTGTGTTACCTCGGATCCGATGCAAAGTGCCCTACTTTTGGCTGGCCCCAAAGCCGCTCCGGAATCCCACTGGAATGGGCCTGCCCTCTGCCAATCTCGAGCCCCACTTCCGAACGAGTGGATTGGCCTCACAGAACGCCCAGTTTAAAGTACCACTACTCCCTCCATTTGCTTCAGTCCCCTGAAAGAAAAAAAAACCCAGTAGTGAGGGAATCCCTTTTGAAACCACCAGTGGAAGATAACACATACTCTTCACCAAATGGAAGAATCCCAAAAAGTGACTGAAGTCCAGGACCTCAGGAAGTGAGCAACGGGTAGATGCGAAGGTCGAATTTCAACTCCAAAGCTCTCATCGGCCAACGGAGGCGATCTGGTCGTCCCATTTCCCCAATGAGCCATGGACAAATCGGATGGCTCCAATGGGGTTTTCATGGAACATGGCCCCCATCCAAACTAACGATAGTCGAAGATACATTATATACAAAGCATGGATACCGCTGGAGGCTTGCTGGAAGTTGCTCGATTCCCAGCTTTCCCTGCCCAGCAGAGTGTGTCGACATCATACTCAGCATGCGCCATTTTTGAGGTTTGACCCCTTTTGCTTGGGTTGAAAGAGCAACCATGCCCCCCATCGGTACCTCGGGATCGTTGGCCCACTCCACAATCTTGTCCTTGGCGGCGCTCGCCGCCTGCGCGTCTTGGTCAGTCAGTTCGCATGACCTCTCTACGTGATTGGAAAGCTAGCCCAGTGCTTCCAGTCACCACTATTATAGGTTAACCTGGGCAAATCATCATGTAAAACCTAGAAGTAAGAATACCTGGGTATACTATAGAAACCGCAGGGACTGGGTAACATTGGAAAATGCAGCACTGAATGCATTTTGTTGATTCATTGACGAACCTGAGATTTCGGGGGCCATGACATCGTTTCGGCTTGCTGAGTGGGTCAAACAATGCCGCTTTCCGAACAACTCCTTCAAACTTGTTTTTGGCTTCCAGTACTTTGTTTGCCCTAAAACCTGTTGACTTTTAGCCCTATCAACAAGCTATAAGGGTTAAGGGAGTACTATAGCCCCTATAAGCCAAATAGGAACCGAACCAGCTAAGATAGGCAACAGCAATCTGTTTTAAGGAACAGGGTCTCCAAATTGGTATGGTTTCATGCAGAATGTGCACTCACCCGGAAAATTATGCTTGTCCCTTTAACGTCCCATTTTTTCCCAATCAAAAAGGTTGGCCCCCCAAGAGAGGCGCACCCATCTGGGTGGTCACCAGTTTGAAATAAGGTGGTTTGGGGGCTATTCCCCACATAAACCACCATTTGGGGTGAATTCGGTCGTGTGAGGTCGTTATAAATCACCTAGATCCATGTCATGCTTTCGTTTGGTTAAGACCGCTGGAAAAAATATATATATATATATATACATATATATATATATATAAAGTAGTGATGAATTCCTTTTAAACCCAACAAGGGAAAAACAAATATTCATTTCAGCAAATGGATCCACGTCGATGAAACAAAAAACGTCGAAGGCTCTCTCTTCCGGGCCTCCGGAAACTTCTCTTTCGCCACCTTCATGATCTCCGCTTGGACTGCTGGGTCGCTGAGCGCATCCTACAGATCGATCCGCGGACAAAGCGACAAGGACGCCTGGCCCTCCAATTGCTTTTCCGTCCCCTGGAAAAAAATGAGAAAATATGTCCAGTGGTGAAAACGATTCACTTTAACACCAACAGTGGAAAATAACAATAATAATAATAATAAACAACATCTTAACCAAGTGGAAGCGGCGGATTGAGAGGCTGGGGGTCCCAGTTTAAGAAGCGCCCCAACAACCTCGTTGGGAGAGCAGCGCCTGCGAAACCAAGTTGATTCATCCATCGACATTCCAACTCATCCTTGTCCTTACAGCAAGCAAACACCAATAAAGGATTCCTAGTTGAGTGTTTCCTGTTTTGGGAGAAACTTCAGCATGGTCAATTGGCTTCTGCAAACACAAATCCGCGTAAACATCTGTGACATCACCCAATCCCAACCTGACAAGCCCCACCGTGCCGAACATCAAATCGCCTCGTGCACCTCAAAAGCGAGCGAACCCCCCGTTTCTTTGTGTCGAGCCTGCCGCAAATCCACGAAACTCAACGAGGCTTTGCGGACTGGCCCGTGGAAGGCGCGCGCGCGCGCCCGCTCCTGGCCAGCTTTCTTGACTGCCGCTTGCACCTGGCGGGGTCTTGGGCCGATTTTTGTTTGGGCCAGGCGTGCGAGGGGGGGGCCGCATCAGCTGACCTCCCGGAACTTGCCCCGTTCTGAACTCAGAATGCGCTTGCCGACATCTTGGGCATGCGAGGGATCAGTAGAAAGGGCTTGCGAGCATTGGGGGCAGATGTGATTCCCTCGTGAACTCAGCAACATGAGCAGCGCACCATGGGCACGCGGGGGGTTGGTCGTGAACGTAGTAGAATGGGCGCGCTAACATGCGGGCAAGCAAGGGTTTCCTCGGTCGTGGACTCAGTAAAACATGGTTCCTGCATAGGAAGCGAATAGTCAAAAGAAACAAATCCACCACCGCTCATGGCGACGAAAGCCGAAAGGAGCCTCGACGTCTTAAGTCTGTCAACTGGAAACTGCACTGACCCTCACGCAACGACGCGGGCGCCTGAGGATCCTGGAGGATTTGATCTCTGATTTTTGGATCCTCGGAAAGGCGCGTGCGCTTTGTGATGCTGCATTTGTTTTTCTTGTTTGTTCGACCCTCGCAACAAGTCCCTTGAAGCCAGGAGTCTTGAGGGCATTGAACGAAACAGTGGCATATGGCCATGGGTCAAAAGCCTGTACCCCCAGTGAACATCCCAATTCCCACTAAAATAGGCCCTAAAATGGGTGGTGAATTCACCTACCCCAAAATGGGATCCCATTGGTTTTGACACACAGCCACATGTCATATGGCAGCATGCATCTCGGACCAGATTGCCGGGGGACTCTCCCTCAGTTTCGCAGATTTGATTCCGGTGTTTGGGTGGTCCCCTGTCGGCCTTGTGCAGGGGGCCTCTTTAAGATGACTCCGTTTTTTTGAGTGACCCTAGAAAAAGACAGGGAACCCTTTTTGGGGGAAGACCATTTTTAGTGGACTCCGTTGTTCAGTGACCCTAGCAAAAAAAGGGAACCCGTTTTTGGAAGACCGTTTTGAGTGGGACGGCCACCAAAACAAAGGAAAAAGGGTGCCACTGAACAACTGTGATGATTGTAGTCTTCCAAAACCCGACACGGTGCACTTCCAGCGATGTCGGCACATGATTCATAAACCTGCTCTGACTAAAGATGACCAATGCTTCCAGCTGACTGTCAGCCAATACTGCTTTAAAGGCACCCATAAGGTTTGGCCAAAAGGCCCCCCTGAAATATTTTTTGGCGGAGTCTCAAGGGTTGGTTCTAGCCGGAAGCTGGAAAAAAATGATTGTTACAATTTGTTTAAGACACAAGGTTTGACAAGCTCGTAAAGGGTACCCCCCCCCCCACCCCCCCAGAAAATAGCAAAGTGCAACGTCTTTTCACTTTCCTTTTGCAGTCCTCTCGGCCAGAAAAGGCCGTTGTTGCTGGAAAGAGGGGACTACACAAGGCTGAAGAACAAAACGAGTACATTGTTGTCGCGCACCCCGCCACCCCATTCTGGTTCTTTGGGCCCTGCTACACATCCGGTGGCCCCTGAGCTGCCAGCCATTGACGCCATGGCACGAAAAGACTCCGCTCGGATCGATCCCACAGACAGGAATGGCTGCTACCCTTTGAGCAGGAACTCTGAGAAAAGCGCGCAAGTGAGCATGCCCAAAACCTCTTGATACTGGGGGTCTGGGCCCATTGGCCTTACAGCCCCTGTGAAACCAGCACTTTCTACAAGTGGCCAATAGCTTTTCGGCGCTCATGCGGGTTTGTCTCCAAATGGAACCCTCAAAATGAGTGGCTTCCTTTTAGCCCCTACCCCCCAAAAAAGCTGAAGAGGAAGGTGGCAGTCTGCAGCAGTGGCTTGAGAAGCTGCATAAATGCAACCAACACCGGCCAGCACGGGCAACCACTTGTATTTGGCATGTCGTTCTAGTGTCCCAGTGTCGCTTGATCCCTGTCCGCTGTTGGCCCTGTTTTGGTCCCACTGGGTGGGTCTGCAGTGCGTGCACATCTCTTGAATTTGGCAGTGCGAGCCCCGTTGCCTCTGCAAAAGTTTGGACTCCCCAAAACTTTATGAGCAGAAAAAATGGTTTTAACCCCTCTATGGGCCTCGGGGCCAGCACGGCACGGCTGAAGCGAATAGAACCGATTCGGCAGGCAGAGGCTCTTACTGACGACCGCCTCGAGGCAGCCCAGCATGTGCGGGCACCTTGTTTGTTGCCGAATCCACATTAATCTGAGCCACGGTCAATATTTCTTGGGTCCCACAATTGTAAGCTTATGTGTATTTTGTTCTCTGGATCTTGACGGATATCGGTGAGTGATCTTTATTTTCAAACCTCCATTCAATTTGGGCACGACTTTTCATTGGGCACTCTTTGGCGGACATCATTTAGGCGGGGAATTTCATGTCCACCGTCCCCACTTTGTGGGTCAAAAAAGACACAAAATGGAACCCAAATAAATGGAACCATGGACTAAAAGCTGCGGTCCCCCTGGTGGGTTAATTTTGGCTCATACCTAGGTGGTTCCCCAGTGAACATCATGGCTTGGACAAACAAACAAGCGGGGATACGGAGGGAGCGAGGAATATGGGGGGATTCCCTTGGCGCCATTTCCCATGTTAAACTTAAAGTCAAGGTGCATCAAAAGGGGGAGTCCTCCCGCATCCAACTGGTTGCCCCTGTATCCCTCCTAGTTGGTTTCCCTGACTTTGGCCGATGAGCTCAGAAAGATATTATGTGCGTACTGGAAACCCCAAAACCCCTCTGAGGTGTCCAATGGAGAGTGTGGGTCTTCCATTGGAAGCCCCAAAAACCCATCTGGGCAGTGCCCTACTTGGTTGACGTTGGGTTTGGGGAGCAAAAACAACAAAATCAGCAGTTAAGTGGTTGGATTTCAACCACTAAGCCACAATAAGCTCAAACATAAGTAAGAAATGTTTCCCAACAACCATCTGGTTGGACAGCGGCAACTAAAGGGCCACTCTGCGAGATCTTCGCAACCCTTGGCATGGATAAACCCCTTGATCCTACAACCCTGTTCCCTGGTAGATTTGTTATTTCCCATGCTTTGGTAAAGTAAAATCTATCACTACTGGAAATGGTTGTTTGTCAAAGCCTAGCGAACATCATGGCCATCTTGCGAGAAAGATTGACCGCCGCTCCGTCGCGGGGAACTTTTCGGTGCGCTCCGGCGGGCGGCCACGTAAGAGCGAGCGAGCCGCTCGCGTGGAGGCCCTCCCCAGCCACGGTGGAAAACACGAGTCACCGGGTCTAAGAGAAGTCCTGCGAGTTTCCCGGTGGATCCTAGCAAGTGTTCAGAATAGCAATTGATTAATCTTGCTTCCAATGTACCTCTCGTAAAGTGCTATTGGGTGTTGAAATGATGTGTGGTCCGCCACTTGTTTCCGTACAGATTCACAATAGCATTCCATTATACACGCGACGATTAGTTCACTGAGTATCCGTACAAAAAGAAGATAATAATAGTAGGTGACCAGCCATATTCCAGATTTGTCTCTTTTGATGGGTGACCCATACAGGTAAATGGATCCACCGGGCTGGGCAAGATCTGACCAGCGACCTGGTTTTCCACGTTCCTTGAGAGTGCCGGAACGACGCTGGCCCCGCGGACAGGCCGACGGGCTTTTCTGTTGGTGTTTTTCTGGGCTGGTCCGAGGGGCCTTGCCTCTTTCCGACGTTAAAGTTTGTGACACATTCATTGGCAGCACACCGCTTCAGTGCTCCTCGCTCCAGCCAACGGCGAGCGAGAAAGCACCCAAGTGGCCGGCAGATGCCATTTGCGAGCGGCCTCAGGGAATGAGTGAACGAGTGAACCAGTGGAAAAAAAATAGGGGGAAAAAGGCAATTGCCAGAAAGACGGCCATGGGGGTTGGCCAATTTGGGGTTTGGGGTGCCCCTGGGCGGGCTACGAGAGGGTTCCGGGGAGGTTGAGGCAAAGCTGGAGAGCATACGACCCCTTTGAGACATACCACGTTTGGTGAGCAAACTCTTGAAGGCAGGTGCTTCTCGTGTGCCAGAGACATCCAGATTCCACAAGAAAAGTAATTACTCCGAATGTGTATGACAGTGTAGTTTTCCATCCCGGTTCTGACATGAGATCACGGCAGTCGATACATCGCATACACTTGCACCTCTCCCGTGCATGCATCGTCGTTTCCATCATCAGGCTGAAAGCCAATCTTGCCCATGCGCAGCATTCCAGTGAGAGCGTAAACAGCTCGATCAGCTCTGTAGCAGAGATCTGCAATGTCTCTGGCATCTTGAAGAATCTTCCATGTTGCTTCGTCGATACACAGAGATTTGAAGCATTGCCCCGGATTCAATCGGTGAAATCCGGTTGGATCCGAAGCATTGCAAGCAGGTGGCAAGGCTGATATGAATAAGTATCATCTCTCCACTGGGAAAGGTCAACAAATGTCTTTCAACATGTGATGCTAAGACCAAAGAGGAACACAAATTGGAAACCCCCTTCCGAATTAATTAAACAGGAGCATGAACTTTGGAAAGCCAAAAAGAGGTCATGTTTCACTCTGGTTTGGAAGCAAACATGGATCCTGGAGAAGCAATCCTCAATCTCCAAAAAAACGTCCAGCAAGATCTCGGGGTTCCCTAGTCCGTTAGATGGTCCCCAACCTCCACTTAAGCCCCTCTAAAGCTTTGGACATGTTGTTATGGTTCTTTGGATGGTCCGGGAGGAGTCGCTAAGTGGCTAGTACCCCAGTTAACCTCCTGTAAACTCCCACTTAAGCCCCTCTAAAGCTTTGGACATGTTGTCGCAACTCGTTTAGCTAACTCCAGTCAACCCCTGTAATGTTAATACCATATTTATCAACCCCTGTGTATTCATATGGGGGTGTTCCCTCCAAAAGTGATGATGATTCCCCACATTTCACCCAAATAAACTGGCTGTGGCTCAAAAATATGGTACCAAAACGGCACCTTGGTAGATGAAACCAAACACTAAATCCTGCGTAACCCTAGTTCTGAATTGTTTAGCCACGCCCAACTCGGGTTTATTCGTCTGGAGGTCAACATTAAACCCTTGTAGCTTGGTTGCTGTTGACCTAAACCCCTTGATTTCAACCAAAAAGTGAAAGTCTAAAGTTTAAAGATCCAAACTAATAGCAAGGTAAGGCTTTGCCATTCCCCACTAAAATAGACTAAGATGGGTGGTGCACCTACCCCAAAATGGTACCATTGGTTTTGACCCACAGCCATATCAATAAACCGGGGCTTATTCATCTGGGGTCAACATTAAACCCCTGTAAGGCTTCACCATGTCATCTCATGGACGAGGGGCCAAGAAGCTGCGCTCAGATCGCGGTAATTGCATGCAGCTGGTCCCAGCTCTCGCCTAAGCGGTTCGACCAAAGACCTTCCCAAGCCCTCAAAAAGTGTTTCTTCACTTTCTGTGGGTCCAATCTTCCATTTGCTTTTCCGCCCCCTGGAAAAATAGAATATATTTCCAGTAGTAATCGATTCCCTTTAAAACCAACAAGGGAAAATATAAAATAGTCTTAAGCAAATGGAGTCAATGGACAATCCGCTCTTTTCAACCAAAAAGTTAAATTTCCACAGGCACAACAAATAGCGATAAAGCAGCCATGCTTGTTTACAACATCTGTAACCAAACTTTGGCCACTTAAGAACCAAAACACATGTTTAAACTAGAGCCAATGTTCAAACCAAACTCCTGTTTCAGTAAGAGCCAGCCAAATGTGTGACAACCAAAACAAAACACATGTTTAAACACTGGCCCAATCCTGGACCAAACCAAAAGAGTTGGACCCTGGACTCACTTGGCCAACACGCGAACGATGTACCCAATGCTCGCATGATGTGCAATTGTATATGTATATATATATATATATATATACTACATGTACATATGTCACATAGACATATGTATTCACACATGCATGCATGTGTCCTCATGTATACGATGGGCTGGGGCTTGGGTCAAACATCAAGTTCCATCTTTTTCCAATTGTCGCCCACATCGCTTTTTGAGCTCCCAAGACACAACGCACCGATGCAAACCCAGCAGGCTAAATGCACACGTGAACCAAAAAGTCAGGATGCTTACTTGCAGCACAAGGAGTGCGTCATGGTTTGCCCGTTGACCCTGGATTCATCAACCTGGCAAATGCATTTGGGGGGCAAACAGGCTAGGATAAGAGGCTTGCGCTCCCCGATCCAAATCGATCAAGTGTTTCTGGACTCAAATTCCTTTCCGCTTGGCCACGTCCCGGAACCGGCTGGGCAGCCCACCCCCAGCGGCGAAAAGATTGAAGCCTCGGCGCTTCGTGTCGGCGACTTCCAGTTGCTTTTCCGCCCCCCGGGAAAAAAAACAATATTTCCAGTAGTCATAGGTTCTCTTTAAAACCAACAGGGGAAATTAGCAAGCACAAAATCTTAAGCAAATGGAAGGCGACATTGACAGGCGTTCGCTTCTGGCTTGCTCTCGCTGCGAAGCATCTCAGCACTGTTGGGCAACCAGGATTGGGCAAACTGATCCTGCCAATCATGTTGCTTCGAGCGTCAAGAATAGCGCGACACAAACCCCGACCGTTGCAAATGCCAAACTAGTCCTCCAGTAGAGAGGTTAGAATAATTAAGGGTCCCCTTTTTCCTGTAGTCTATTTTAGTAGGGGAAAACCCTCCCAACCAAAAAAAAGGGTGAGAAAGGGCACCAATTGCTGGCTCAGGGTTCTATTTTTTGACTACCCCAAAGTCGAGGGGTGGTTGATTTCCCCAAAAGGGAAACCCCTGGGTTTAAGTCTACCTTGGGGTACTGGGGGGGAGGGGGGGGCAAAGCCCAAATAAGCCCAAAAATAAGGCCTTAAGGGCTTAATAAGGGCTTCATAAGGGCCCGCTCCCCCCCCCCCCCGCTCCCTCCCCCCCAGCCTCCATGAAAGGAGGCCTCAATGACCAGCACCGGCAACCCAGCCAGCCCCCTCCAGCCCTGCTATTGCAGAACAGCAGCCCTTGCGTCGAAGGGCATTGGTCTTGTCCACGAGTTCCTGTGAATCGAGACAGTGTGCTTGACTGCGGCCAGGGTAAAACTCCCCCAAAAACAGAACTATCATAAATCCCATGTACAGGGAGTATCAACCTTGAACATGATCTTCAAACCTGGTTGTGCAGTGGTTCAAAGAGCCTGTATTTTCATTCTGGAACCCCATGGGACAATGGCTTCTTTGGGGTGTCGTCACCTCTCCCCTTTGGGAATATGTCAACTTTGGCCCTCCACAGTTGGTACAACGCAACGCGTTCCGAACTCCAAAACGCCACGCTGCGACGACCCCAAGCGACACCCCGAAGAAAATCACGCACCCTCCCTCAAGTACGGAAGCCAAATACCCTCTTCGAAAGGGACATTCTCCCACAGCCTCCTGGGAGCTTCCGTGGAATCGTCGGAGTGCTTCAATCTTAATTAAGTGCTCACAATGTTGAACCTGTGCGCTGGTCAAACTCCTTGACCACTGCAGAATGTGATGCTAAAAGAACAAGCGTCAAATTGAAGGGCAGCCTAGTCGACACTCGTGTGTCAAAATCCTAAACACGTTCTGCTGTTATTTGCTTTTGCCTGTTCGAACACCGAGAATTCACCTGTATGCGGTGCAGAAATTGTGAAGTTAGCTGTGACCGCCATGTCGGGGGGGGGGGGGGGGGCAACGGTTTTGCGTGTGTTGTGGAAACAGGGCTCCTTCCTGTGATACCTTTTAAAATGCTTGATTCGCGGGACCATCCCATTGGTATCACAGAAACTGGTAACCCAAAGCCCAGTTTTCCACTGGGCTAGTCATTATAATTCACCGCCCCAACAAATAAGGGATGCCTACGAAAGAAATATTTCTTGTTTTGGGTGACGTCGCAACCCTCCTGGTGACCCGGGTTTTGGCTTGTTGAATCATGCAACAGGTCACGAGCTGTGCCGTGTACGTTGAATGAAACATGAACCACGCCAAAAACGGGCGGAATCCATCCAAGGTGATGCGAAAATGCCTTGAACCATTTGATCTTCAAATAAACAGACCTAAACATCTCCAATCACTTGAGGAAGCTTTATAACTTAAATGACCTGAAAGGACCAGGACAAAAAACAACATGGACTCCCAAGTTTTCTTCTTTCAAGCATGACTCATGGGCCTCCGCCGACCATCGGCCGTTTTCTGCGCATGCGTCCTTGTCGGTATACCTCGGGGAGCTCAAGGCGCTGGAGGAATCTTCGTTTTCCTTCGACCTGGGACTCGACAGCGGGGTTTGGTAGACCAAAACAGCCATGCAAAACACGGCTGGTGGGATCAAGGGGTTCATGAACACTTCTCTGATATAAGGGAATCTCCTGGGTTAGTCTTTGGGAAGCCCTTTTTGTTGTATCACAGAAGTGGTCATTTCGGGAACAGTTTGATAGAACCCGTATTTCACAGGTCCCTAGCCTAACAAGCTAACAAGCTAACCCAGAATGAAGGTTGCAGGGATTCCTCAATCCCCGCCAACAAACATGCTTTGGTGCACAGTTGCTCCCTTTACTGGAAAATCGTCAAGGGGTCGAACGGAATCGCGCCAATGGACCAAACCATGGGTGGAAGAGTTCCTGGGACTCACTGGGCTGGTCGCTAGTTGTAGTCCTGTGAGATCTACATGCAAGTTATACAAAGTTCTGCAAAGTCCAGCTAGTTGAGAGGGCTTCACCGGCAGCGTATGTATGGGTTGCTGTCTGATCTGTCCCAATGGCACGTAGCAAGACTTGGGGAGCTAGGTGAGTCAGCCTGGCCATGAAAGCACATTTCAGCTGCCCCAACACTGGAAGCACTGGATTACCAAGTCCCAAGTCTTGTGGTGCCCGCGGGATGAGCGCCATGGTGCGCCCGAGCAACTGGCGCTCACGCATAAACGCCACCGAAATTTCGCTCTCGAAATCCGGTCTGATTTTGGGACCTGCCTTTCAACGCTATGGCTATACCACCCCCCACGCCCCAAAACCTGCGGCAGATCAAAATAAGGCGAACGGGGGGGAGGGTCTTTGGGCAGGTGCTTGGTAGGGTGGTGCTTGGTGCGACCGAAGGAACTCCACGAATTCCACTGAGCGGTTTTCTCATAGTAGGTAGCCAGCCGGTTGGGGTGGTCCGGGGCGGCCATGAGGTAAGGTTCCACCAGGGTTCCACCAGGGTTCCACGAGGGTTTCACGAGGTTCTGCGAGGGCTGCGGGGTGGTGCGAGCACTAAAAAGAGCACCGAATGCTGTTGGGGACATCACCTGAGCTTATTTTGTCAGGTAGGGGACCATATATGTGGGATATAACCCTTGCTTTGAAAAGGCATCCCTATGAATTTTAGAAGAAGATTGATTCCCTTTGCATTGCAGAAACTGGCAACCCTGAAAACCGGATTCTCCACAAGCATGTAGGTCTGAAAGGAAGGATGCAGAAAGAGTGCGGTGCACAAAATGCTGAGACCCAAACACTTGACACACTTCATTGAAACTTGTGAGCCAAGACTGGATTTCAATAGGGCCCTCTCCAAAAAAAAAAGTTGGCTACATCCC